AGGGGCGCAAAGGGGAAAGTGCAGGCGCTGCAGCAGGGATTGGGCACAGAGTGCAGCAGCAGAAGCGTGCAGGCGCAGGGGCGCGGGGCGCGGGGCTCAGGGCAGGGGCCTAAGGCGCAGGGGCGCGTAGAGTGCAGGGCTGGCTCGGGTGTGAGGGAGGAAGAAGGTTCTGGAGATGCAAAGATTTAACTTCTTCTTTTTTATTCTTTTTTTTTTTTTGGGGGGGGTTTTGTTTGGGTTAAATGGATTTGGCATTTGGGCTTGCATTTTGGGTTTTGTTTTTGGTTTTTTTTTTTAGTTTAAGGCTTAAAATTGAAATGGGTTGGAATTGGGCCATTTAAGATGGGTTTAAGGTGTAAGTGGGTTTTGGGTTGAACTTTAATGCATTTCACCCTTCATCTTTTCATTTCTTCAATTGGGTCCCTCATCCTTCAACTTCTTTCCAATCCTTCGCAAAAATCCCCCCTTTTACTTATGAACCTAACAAGGAAAACAAAGATAAAAACATATTAGTTAAAATAAAATAAAATAAAACTAAAATAAAATCTTATTAAAAATTGAAGTTATGACATATGCATATTGCGCCCTAATTTTGCTCATAATTAAGGATCTTATCCATTTCCTCATCTGTTATTTAAGTATCAGAACCTGAATCTTCTTTTTCCACTTAATTAATCCTTTTTCAGAAATTAAAAGTCCTTCTCTAATAATAAATGATGCATGCATGGCCTATATATATATATATATATATGGTGATTGATGTTCAATAATATATATTGTATATCTAAACATACTTTTACAGGGGACAACAATGGTGCTGAATGTGAACCTACAGTGCTCAAAATGCTACAAGAAGGTCAAGAAACTTCTCTAAAAAATTATCTTGCCTTAATTAATTCTCTCCGTATAGCAGCTATCGCCGAAGAGGTTTGTGCTAAATTTATACTATTCCTTTTTTTTTTTCCTCTCTCTCTTTTCTGTGGCCGTTATACCTCTCTCTCTCTCTTTCGGATGAAAATTAAGGATATATATATATATATATATCTAATTATGTATTTTGGTTTGATGCATATATATGGCATGCACCCTAATTTTAATTTGCTCATTAATTAATACATAATTTGTTAAATATAATTTGTCTACGTATATGTATATCAATATATGGACTGATTAGCCAAGTGGACTGAGTCGTTGTGTTGTGAACAAATTAATTAAAGAAATACAAGATCAGAAGTATGATGAGAAGGCAAACAAGGTGACAATTAAGGTGGTGATCGAGCTGCTCGCCGGAGAAGATCAGGGACAAGTTATGCTGCAAGGGTTGTGGATGCATCAAGAGCATTGAGATCGTAAAGCCAAAGCCGCCTGAGAAGCCTAAGCCTCCGCCGTCTCCGCGTAAACTACATGTAGATCTGCAACTCTGGGGGTTTTGTTGTTGTAAATGCTACAGCGGAAGGCTTGGTGGTCCATACGATCCGTGTTATGGGAGACCCATTTACGACAGCTGGTGCGGGTATGGAAGCGGCAGTGGAGAAACTCAACCAGGCTGCTCAATCATGTAAATACTAATAATAAGATTGTGTTTGGAATCCAGCCAAGTTAAATTCAATGATAAGTAACTGTTGTTTTACAAATTAAATTTAGAATTTAATTAGTTTGGAGATTAGTATTTAAAAAAATTAATTTTTATAAATATAATAAGTTAATATAGGATGTTTTTAAAGATGTTGATGGAAGGAATTAGTCTCAAAATATATAAAAATTAATTTAAAAATATCTTAATTATTCAAATAAAAAAAAAAAGTGTGTTTAGTGAATGATGCAGGTGGGTTTTGTTTATTAGCAAAAATGTATGGTACTTTTTTCTCAATAAAAAATTGTGAATGGTCACGATTCAATGATAAATTTTTTTTTCAAAAAAAATAAAAGGTTTGAAATTTGAATCATATAACATATGAGTCAAATAAGATAAGAGATGAAAAAAAATTATCTCATGTTATGGAACCAATATTTAAAAAAAAAAAAAGAGGAAGAAGAATTGTGAGTGAGACTTCGGGCCACTAATCGAAAATTTTTTTTCCGTAAGCTTTAGCATGTATTATCATGATAGTTCAGATACTTCTTTGGCTACTTCCTTTCTTTTCAAAATATAAGTTGTTTATTTTTTCATATAATTTTAAATAATACTTAAATGATAATTTAATTTTTTTTAAATAACTATTTTATTTTATATAATCCATCATCAAATATTAAAAAAAAAAACTACCGAAACCATAGTTCTCAAAATCGGATTATAAATTATAAAATCAGGTGATTTTACAATTTTAGGTATGTATTTTGAGTAAAATCTATGTTAAAATCGGATTTCCATAAAATCAGGGTAAAATTGTAAAATCATGATTTTACAATAAAATCATTATTTTATGCTACCATCGCTCATGCCGTTGCTTGCTGCTCACTGCTCGAGCAAAGAAGTTGCTGGCCGAATAGAAATCTATTTGGTAAGTGGTGGCCCAAATGATCTGGAGCCAGTTTTACATAATAGGAGTTGGTTGCTACTATTTACTACTCAAGCAAAGAAGGATAAAATCTACTGCCAAAAAAAAAAACAAAAAAGAAGTGGATAAGGAGAAAGAGAGGTTGAATAGAGGAGAAATGGTAGAAAAGAGGGAAAATGACAGTGGAGAAAACAAGGAAGGTGAACTAGTGAAGGGATGGAGGGATATCAATTTTAGTGAGGATTATGTTGACACGTATGGGATAATGGGATTGGGT